ACTCGAGGACTATTACTAATAGTCCTCTAGTAGCGTAGCCAATTAAAATGCAGGATTTGCAATAGTCCACTAGTTGGGTGATACTAAAGTAAAGATATTACTCAAGTAAATCATGCAACAGCGATAAGCACTGAAAACACAAGAGCAGTGGCGAATCACAACTGTAGTAAGTAAAATGACGTGGGCTGAAAAGATTGCCATGCATCGATCATGACTGTAACACAACCTCCTAGTTTTATTGATGCTTACGTAGGCATCTTGATCTTGTAGCGTGACAAGACAGGAACGTTACGACCGAAACGGCGATAGGAAGCCACCCTGGAAAGGGCAAAACAATACATCAACTGACGTGACATGTACTCTGTGACAGTGCTGTGCATTGTGTGACAAACTTTCTTCACAACGTCACGCAATGACGCAAATCTGGTGTTTTTCTGCAGCGACCCTACTTCAGCATTTAGCTCATCACAAACATGCTTCACCGTATTGCACCGTGTATCATCATGCAGATCACGCTTTTTAGCAACACTTCTCACTCAACGCGGCATTGTACTAAACTCTACCGACATCACGCACATATCACGGGCACACAATTCACGATCACGCTACAATGAACGAACGCATTATTTTAATGCAACAAAGTCCCACACTTCTTAAAGTTGCACGTTGGTAATTTAGTTTTGACTTTAACCTTTTTAGTGCTTTGAACACCTCTACGGCAATATTCTAGAATTTACATATCTTTTTTTGTTTGTTTGTTTAAAAAAAAGAGAAAGCTAAAGATTTTAAGACTTTTTATGCTTCAAGCCAACATGTCTCACTTTATCAACATAAAGCATTTACAAGCCTTCTCTGAGAAAACTTTTACACGGACATTTTACTTACAGAACGACACAAAATAATTCCTCACTGTTTACACACTAAATTATATGAGTAGAATTAACATATAAATATAAATATAGAAGCTCTTAGTCATATGGAAGTCATGGATGTCAAATTCTGAAAATAACTCATTTCACCTAAGTGCTGTTAGTTTCACATGTTTAGTCCAGTTTTTGTTTTACGTTGCTAACCAACACGACATGACTGCTCTGTTACAAAGAGCACATTCAAGATTTAAATTTACGAGAAATAACTGTTTAATCCAAACAAACGATTGGCGATTTAATAGGTAGTGTATTAAAGATCCGCTTTAAATATTACATTTACTGAGGTTCTATCAGTAAATAACAGGATGACAGGCATGTTAAAGCCCAAATTAACCCTTTAAATCAATTTTAATGAGGTAATCCAAAACGTACTTTTGATTTATTTAAAACTGTGAACTGTTATTTTAGATAAATATTTCAGTTCTCAGTGTTAAAATGTAATCTTTCCAGGTGCAGTTTTAGCCTTAACACCAGTGCAAAAGGGTGAAATACAAGAGTCAAATTGTATCTTGAGAACAAATAACAAATTCTATGGGTTTTGGTGCAATTTGGAAAGTACCAGGGTTGACTCCTTCAAAGATTTCAAACTGCGTTCGTCTGCTGGGTCTTTCTATGTGCAGTATATCATTCCAAATTGCACCTAAAAGCCACAGAAAATGCTACTAAAACGTCCATAAGAAAGAGATACAGTCAAATCCGTTAATACAGACACCAGCAGTCAGAAAAAGGACAACATAAAAAATACCTATTAAAAAGGCAAATTTACGGGATAATGTAAGAGCCGGGAGCAATGGTACTGTCGGTCACAACGAGTTGTTCATATTAAGCGAGAGTTCCGTACAGAACTGAAGGGTTCTACAGTAAAAAGGTAGGTCATAAACAGTTGCCCTAGTAAATGAAGGTAGCTCACCTGATTCACTTGTTCGTCCACTTTACGTAGAAGCTCTTTTTGTTGTTTTGGACTGAAACGTAACAGGGCTACCAGCACTTTGGCCATTTGCTATGGGGACAAAGCAACAAGTGATGAATTACCACTAGCAAACTGGGCACATCTTCTCATTTGTTAAGTCAAACACATCACTCGACCAAAGACAAGTTAAAATTAATGGTTTGATTTTAAAGAGCACCGAACAGGGACGAATAACGACAGAAAAGATGGGAATAAAATACATGTACAATACGGATAATTTTGAAAAACTTGAAGCTCGTGCTTTCAGCTTTAGCACAGTTTCCGTGACAGTGCTCCTTTTAGAAACGTTTCCGAGACTTTCCAAGGTGACTTTGTGTAACATTTGTTTAGAGCCCCGTTTCACCTTTAACCAATCACAGTGAAGATATAGTGCTTTTAGCCAATCAGATCCTCCAAACTAAGTTCCTTTTCCCACGCTTTTCCTGGAGTTTCCACGTTTTACCCGCGAGTATTTTGTTTAAGCAACTAGCTGGATTAACGAGAGCAGCGAAGCTGCAAGGAGAATAGGTCCACTCGGCTATCGCCTCGTTGATCCACAGCTACTTTGACAATGTTATGACGAAATTCATGATCAAGAACAGGACAGAGGCTTGAAAAACTGACGTCAATTTGTTAAATTGCTTTTGTGTCTAGGCAACAGGGCATTAAAAAAAGTCCAACTTATAGTTTCAACAACAACAACAAAAATCTTGATGAATTTGTGTTCTGGTAAATTGAAAATTACACCTAAAAAAGTAATTAAATACAGCTTCTGTCTTCTTACCTTTCGTTCTCGACCCATCATGTACTCATACAATATATTTCTAAGATACTGTAGTAAATAAAAACGAAAAGTCAGTCAGATAAAGGCATTTCATTATTCACAACAAATGTATAAAACAAGTTTCAAATAATACACAGATAAACCAAACCTCGAATTCTGTGGGTTCGACTGGAGACTTGGGAACTGGGTCGTAAGGAGCCGGGCTATCCGAGAGAGGATTGGACACCACATTCAGCTGAGGTGGACGATCCGCTCTGCCTTTCATAGGTGATCCACCGAGCTGCTCAATCTACAAACAAACCAACAAGATAATAACTGAATGGAATCTACTGAACAATTCTGATC